CCCCCCCCACGCACCTGGCTGGCCCCCTTGTTGCTGCCCATCTGCAGGCTGATGGTAGCCTGGTCCAGGGGCTGGTCCGTGCCCAGCTTGGGGTCGTACAGGTGGCGCCGGGTGCCGTAGGCCGTCATGCCCTGCTGGCTGGCAAACTTGTTCGTGCCCATCTAGGAAGGAGAATCAGCCCGAAGGTCACAGAGCCTCACCCGGGGCCATGAGACAGAGCGTGTCGGCGGACCCTGGCTCGCCCTCTGCCAAGGCACCTGCTTCCATTGTCAGGCTCCGGACTGGACACTGAGGCCCAGAAAAGGCAGGTCACGTGGCCTGTAGGTGGCTCCGAGCCCCGGGGCCTGGCTTCCAGGGTTCGAGCCCCAGCGCGGCCACGTATCACGCGGGCAATCGCGGTAAGTGAGCCGGCTTCTCCAGGCCCCAGTTTCCTCATCTGGATAAAGGGTGTAACAATAGCACCCACCGCTCAGAGCCGCTGGACGCCAAGCACAGTGCCCGGCATACATCCGAGGTAGGGCCAGACAGCCTGTGCCCCAAAGCCTGCCGGGACCGGGGTGCCCTCCTGGCCTCCTTGACCTCCCCGCCCAGCTCAGCAGCAAGACCCCCGGTGAAGAAGGGGCAGTACCTGAAGCCCGATGATGTTCCTCCCTTCCCGTAGCTTCTCTGGCTCAAATCTCCGTTCCTGCTTCTCCGCGTACTTCACCCCTACGTTCACTTTATTCCCTTTCGTCTTGGCCTGGGGAGGGCCAAGGGAGCAGGGACTGACAAGGGAGCCTCCAGGCACCGTCCCCAGTTAGCACCTGCTCCCCCCTCCCACCCATGCTGGGCCCCGGGGGCACGAGTGGCCCCCACTCGCATCCCAGCCCACACCCTCCACTGCCCACCCGCCCCACGCCCACCCTTCAGCCTCACTCACCATGCTGGCCAGGGCCAGGAGGGTAGACTGCACCTGGGTGTGGTTGGTGTTCTCAAACAGGTCGTTGGCCTCGAAAATGTCGTGGGGCTTCACCCCATACTTGGTGATGGCCTTGATGAAGTTGCCGATGTTTTCCAGCTGGAGGGGAGCAGGCGCCAGTCAGTGGAGGGAGGCAGGGTTGGGGGGGGGAGGGCCGAGGGGCGGTGTGGGCCAGGGGTTGAAAGAGTACAGAAAAGAGGCTGGGCTCACCTGGTGCCAGTTTTGGGTCGACTCGTTGACCTTCTTCACGGAGCCCGGCTGGAGTTTGTTGATGAACCTACAAGGAGCCGGGGAAGGCAGCGAGGAAGGTACGCCCAGCCCCGCGGGACAAGGGGTCAGGGTGACAGCCAGTGGGCGATGTCGCGGGTTCCCACGGCAACCGGCACAGCTGCGGCCCCACTGATCCACCCCGCACACCCGGGCAGGACTGAGATGGGAAATCGGGAGCTGGGCTGGGCTCTCTAGCAGAAAGTCCCCTTATCCCAGGCTTGCAGGAGTCCCCTGCTGTGACCTTGTCTCCCTGGCAACCACCTTTCGGGCTGCTGGTCCTCTCCAGGCATCTGCACTGTG